ATACCTTAAGTGTTTGCTCTTTTTCTAATCTCCAGCCCATCCTACAAGCTGTGGGAGAAGGGTCCTCTTGGATTCTGTCATATCAGCCTTGGTTATTCCCCCTTCACTCCAGATTTAAACGTTTTTATTTTGAGAGAACTAGAACACAAAGTTGCATAAAAATACATCTTACAGAAATATTAAACAACAGCGGGAGCAAGGTGATAAAAACATAAACCTTTGAAACATTCAAAAATAGAGACAAAAATTTGTAAGCCAAGCCAAACAAAGAAAACGTATACATGAGGGTGTATAAAGTGTTGTGGTTCAAGCCTTATTTTGGGGTATAAAGGGCAACCAGTTCCTTATTCAAATTTCCTTAGAAATAGAGGCCTCTTGGAGGCACTCCAAATAGACACTTGCAGTGCCACAATCAATGTTTGGACTGGGCATTGCTATATGTCATCTTGCATGGGACAGTCCCCAGAGCGTGGTGATGTGTCATTTGGGGTGGTCCAAAGACTTTGGAGGGGTTGCAGCCTGGCCCCAGTGTCTGCCTGTGTGATTGTCCTAGGGGCACCCCACTTTGGAGCAGCTGGCACATAAACCATGCTTTGGACCAGGAAACAGGACATATCCTCTTGAAGGGGAGAGTCCTGTGAACCTGGGGGTATATGATATGTGGTGGACTAGACCTTATTTAGGGGTTCAGAGCTTTCAAACTCTCAGAGTTTTTGGATGAATTCATGAATAAGATGCGAATAAGAAATGAATAAGGAACTGGGAATAAGGAACCAACTTCAGCCTCCTTCCAAAGAGATCCTTTTCCAAATAACTGCATAAAGGATTGCAGCCTGATCCTATTAAATTTTATTTGGACATAAATCCAAATGTTCTCAGAGGAGTTTATGCTGAAGCAAATGCAGAGGATTATAACTAAAACTGGAGAGCTGCACTTACTAACAGGAGCAGTGATTATATTTGTGTGTGTGTATAACACTCTCCCCCCACCCTGACCCTTGCTGTGAACATCACCTCCTACGTTGTACAGCAGATTTCATGTGGTCCTGGAATTTCTCACTGCATTCTTAGTTGCTCCTGCTATCTCGATCTAGGTAATGTTAGGTTCTGCTTCTGCTTCTGCTGTCCAAGCACCATTTGTGCTTTCCAAGCTTAGATACAGAATTATGCACAGCAGAGTTGTCAACCTCCATGTGAGGCCTGAAGATCTCCTGATATTACAACTGATCTCCAGACAAGAGAGATCCGTCACTTGTCTGGTAGTGAGGATTATTTGTCCTACAGTGGTGGAAATGCTGAATAGTTTCTTCTACAGCAGCAAGCTCTGAGATAAGATACTACTTTTGGATTATGTTGTACAGAAACTAGCTATTTAGGTAAGAGAATATTTGGACTGTTTCCCTTATAATCTTTGTTACTTTGATTATGCTATTGATAGTCTATATATGAATGTAAACACCTATAATATGATTATATTTAACACATTACACACAATATTTATTAAATATTATTTGCATATATTGTATGTTTATACACAATCTTTTCTATTGTTTTGTACTCATTCCACCATGACCTAGGCTTGGCAAGTCCCCC